TGCAACCTGTCTCATCACTGCTGCACCTCCCCAACTTCCTTCATCAAGTGAACCAGATGACCACCATGACCGAGTGACCAGGCTTCCCACTCGCCTGCTCCCTTTAACTCTTTTTGTACTGTGGGCTTCTTCTGGTGGGCACTGACTTTTTTTTCTCTCCCTGCATCGGTGCATCCAAAGACAAACCAATGCTCGAAATACTAAACAACAAGTATTGTCCCCACCCTTTTTTTGCAAGTCTTTACTTCAGATGCAGTGATGCGTCCCGGCCAGCGGGACGCACGAGCAGGACCCTGGGGGGAAAGACGAACCTGGATGGAAAGAAAGACACGGAGACGTGGAGCAAGACAAATGCTGATCAAGCTCGTTTATTTGGGCAAAGTTAGGGGAATATAAAGAGGAACTGGGAGGTGCATATTCTAATAAGGTGTGCTGCACAGTATCCAATCCAACATGCATTATTATAATGAAGCATAAGAATGTTAACCAATCGGCTATCCATCCTATTCTCAATATGGTATGTCTGTAGTCCAATGAGTGCTTAGTATTTCAGCCAATGGGTGAAGAGAGGGGAGGATAACCAACCAAGGTCACGTAGCTGCAGAGCAGTTACAGATGCACAATGGTCAAAGAACACTTCGGGGGGGAGACGAAGGGTAACACAGACTGCAAACTGTCTCAGACATTTTCATAGAACAAGGAAGCTTTGGTGACTAAGATATCTTTTAAGGCATAACCACCTGCCAGTAATTTTCCACTAGGGCCGGTCACTGAAGGACCTTGAGAATGTCTGCTAGGGCCGGCTCCCAACAATGCAGGGTTGTTTTTTTTTCCTCAGCAGTTCCGGGTAGATGTGCATGTCTTCAAATGAAAATGTATCAACTGGTTAGATTCTGGGTGAGACCTAAGGCCCTAGTACTCCATTTTCAATCTATTATTAGCTGAAGGTAGTGTGATGTAATCTATAATCACCAATATTCATTCCCATCATCCATTTGGGTCTGTAAGAGAAGCAGTCAATATCCATCTTCGAGAGCAAATAGGCTGCGTGCCTTCTGGCAGGAAGCTGGCCTGTGGAGTTGAGTGCCTTCCGGCACTTAATTGGAGGAGCAATGTTTGTTAAGTCATAAAGCTAGAGTTGAATGAATACCTTTAGGCTGAGGCTCATGGTGGAGAGGCATACGCTTTAGGCATCTCCTGGCTTGAGTGTGACAGAGACCATGTGGTGGAGAGACCAGAGACCGTGTGGTGGAGAGACCAGAGACCAGAGACCAGAGAGAAGCCTGCCTGCAGGCATGGCTCTGAAGACGCTATCTTGACCAAATCATTGTAGTCTGAGAATTTGTAACCTTTTGACTTCCTTAAGAAACCCTATAATCATCAGAATTGTCTGCGGCTTCTGTGTGGTCCTTGCAATGGATGATTGAACCCAACTGAAAAGTAGTGAATTCTGTGAGCGAGTCAGAATTGATAGAAATGTTGGAGGGTGGAGGCATGTCTGACCTCAGCCTCGTAAGAATTGGAGAAAGGGGATCGCCATCATTATCAGCCAGCCCCAGGTTGATGCCTACGATGCAAAGATCAGACAGCTCTCCTCCCACGATATTCGCGACTTCTCTGCTGGGTTCAGCAATTCATTGCAATAGCCATAGAGAACTCACGGACAATACTCGCCATCATGGGATTCATTAGGGAAATAACAGGTCAAATTCAAGATCAGAAATGATTCAGGGGATAGTGTTTCAATCAGGACAGCCTCTTCTCAGTCATACCGGCAGGCAAATCCCTTCTCTGGCCCTCGGTCCCTCTAGCCTCTTGGGTCAGCCCAGCCTCTGCCCTGCTCTGCTTAGAGTTAGATTACAAAACTCTTTAGATCCCCCAGTGAGTGCTTAGAGGCACCCTACCCAACGGTGCTCAGCGCTCACTCCATGGGCTGGGAAGTCCACCACACCAGCTCCTGCCATTTGGATTCTGTTGCCATCATTTCCCTGCCATTGTCGCTCAGCATCTCCGCTGTCTTCTGGGTCTAAGAGGTTCCCAGTGTAGGGGCTTTGATTCAAAAGGATGAGCTCAGCTTCCATCTCGTTTGTGGTGGTAGCCAAGTTCCTTCCAACCCCATGCTCTGGGCTTGGCTCTTTTAAGTCTAGTGGATGGTAAAACTGACCAACCTCCTCATTAGGGTCCCATACACCTTATTTGTATGAGACTACTCCCAGAGGGTCTTACACACTTTATTTGCTTTATTAGTAAACTGTCCAGTCCCCTCAGCGAGCCACCAATTCAATTAGCTAGGAGCCCTGGTGGTGTAGTGGTTATGAGTTGAGCTGCAATCCACATGGTCGGCAGTTTGAAACCACCAGCAGCTCCGAGGGAGAACGACTTGGCTTTCTACTCCCATCAACAATTACTGTCTCGGACACCCGTAAGGGGTCACTGTGAGTCAGCATTGACTTGATGGCAGCGAGCTTGGTTTTAGCTTTGTGATGGGCATTACAAGACCATGACCTTGTTGCTGTTAGGGGCTGTCCAGTCAGTTGCAACTGATAGCAACCCTACAGACAACCGAAAGAAACACCACCCGCTCCTGTGCCAGTCTCACAAATGTTATTATGTTTGGGCCTAGGGTGGCAACCACTGGGTCCACATCAAAGCTGTCCCTCTCAATCAATCCATAAAGAAAACCTCATGCCTTTAAAACAAGAGAGCTATCCATCTCCCCCGAGTGCGGTAGGACGGAGTAAACGAAATCATTCACTACCAAGTTTGTATTAAACACTGAACAAATATTAGCTATGGCCAGCAGCAGTAGCAGCTTATTATATAACACATCTCTGTATTTCTAGTCCTGAGCACAGTGATGAATACATAATTGTTTGGTGGGGTGGTGGATCGACAGAAAAGAAAGGTCGGCTGAACAGACAGGCACACAGCCCCATAGACGGATGGATAAGTGGAGACGGAGTGTGTTTCCAAAAGATGAGCTCATATATTTCCTCATCTTCCATGGCATGGGGCAGAAGTAGGAGTAGAATTAAGAGCCTGAAGGGAACAATCCTTTATTGTACATCGACCAGCCGGTGGTGCTCAGCACACCACAGGTGCTTCATTTGAGCCGCGCACTAGGAAGGTATTACTGCAGAATGAGGAAGTGGCTACAGTGGTTTTTTGTGGGCTGGTGTGTCCAGTGCTCCTGACTCAAGGTGTCACCCCTCCCCCTCCCTTGGGTCACCCCTTCCTCCTAGCCCAGGCCATAGAGAATCCTTTGGAATGCTTATGATCTCTTTGAATCATAGAGTAATATGGAAGAGCTATAGCTGTCAACAACTTAAATGTACGCTTTCTAGAGACAGGAAAACCAACCCCAAAGTTGTTTTTATAAAATCGTTCTACATTGATTTATAACATTAGTAAACTGAGCAGACGCCTTTTAAAAACATTCTCCTTCTTTTCTTTTAACTTATAAGGTTTTCCGTGGCTAATCCCTCAGGAACGGTCAGCCTGTTCCTGCTTCCAACTCAGTGTTTAGTCTGGAAGCGCTGCTGAAGCCTGTGCCCCCGGCCGAGCCTGCTGGCATTGGAAATGCTAGGTGTGTCACTGCCAGTGGCACAGCAACACCCTCTAATGACCCTGTCAGCCTCAAAACCGACCCACCGTCCCGCAGCCAAAACACCAGAAAAGCTGACCAAATCGGTGACTGTGAAAACACTGGCAGACACGAGAGCACTAACAGCCCTGGTTCTGGTGCTGGCAGACAAAACCAGATGACGCAAAGCATCATTCTACTTGAGTAATTACAACAGCTCACGGGAAAAAAGGGTCAACAATGAATGAGCACAGAGATTGGGTCTTGTCGGTACTTGGCTATAGGTTAACTGGACTTGGGAAGAATGTGTTCATTGTTTTGGCGAACTGCAGGGATAGTTGTATTTTTAAAATCGTTCATTTCTTTGGAAACGCTGCCCAAAGATTGGGATCGAATCATTTTGGTGTCACCTCCTCTGAAGGCGTTACCTGGTACCGCCCACACCCCCGAAACCGCCCTCGCAAGGCCCCCGAGTGGCCGCTCAGAGACTCGGCGCCAAACTGTGGGTCAGATCAGCCGGGACTCCGAGAAGGAAATCCACGGCATGGAGCGGCTTCTGACTCAGCCACCCAGTGAGGACCGAGTAGAACTACCCCTTGGGTTCTCCTGGGCGGGAGATCCATATGGGAGCAGTCTCCTCTTTCTCCCCATGGCCTTGTGAGTCTGAAAGGGGCCCTGGGGTCGCAGTGCCTTGAGCTGGGCTGCTACCTGGCAGGTGAGTGGTTTGAACCCATCAGCTGCTCCGCTGGGAGGAGCCGGAGGCAGTTTGCTGCGGGGTCGATTTGCATCTGCTCCTCTGTCCTGTGTGAGTCAGAATCCACTCAACAGCGGTGGGGTTAGTACGTTGGACAGTTTCCTGGATCCTTGGAGGAAGAGGAGGAGGAGGAAGGGCTCGATTGCTCCAGACCGTGTCTGTCCTCAATCTCAGACTGGATCCTAGAAGGCAGGGCCTCCCTCTGTAGGAGGGGACACCCCACCCAGGGCCTCGCCGTCTATAAATTGCTCAGCTCTGAACCTACCTTTGAGAAGTGAAAGGAGAGAGGAGAGCCTGATTGAGGAAGAGGGGCTTGGGGTCTTGTCTATGGGGCTTGCCTTGGGGGGCTTCCAGGGGCGCCCTTTCCACTCCAACTTCTCCAGCCACTAGCAGCTGCCAAGAACAGAAGGAGTTAAGTCTGGGCTTAGCTTCTTGAAAGAGCTTGGAGCTTATATTCCTTGTTCTTTCCCCCTCCCTTTCTTTGCAAAGCTTTTCTGATCTTTACACCTCCCACAGGCTCCTCCTCCTGAGTCTCACCTCCTGGACTCCAAAAACACTCTGATTGCCAGTGTGGGTCAATGGTTAACACTCAACTGGTTTTATATAAGCCTCCCCACCTGCCCCAGGCCACCTACAGACTCAGTCTACTCCCTGGCTCCCTCAACGCTCCCACCTTCAGCCGGCCTCGGTCCACACCATGGCCACCTGCTGGCAGGGCCTGTGGGCCTATCGCTCCTACCTGATTGTGCTCTTCCTGCCCATTGTCCTGCTGCCTCTACCCATCCTTGTCCCCGCCAAGGTAAGGACTCGGGGTTCTGGTGCCCAGAAGCGCCAGCAGGGCTGGGGAAGGGTTTGGCATGACTTGGGCCAGGGTTTGGCATAACCTCACCCCTCCTGCTTTGGAGCCACCTGGTCCTGCTGAAGGCAACGGGTCTTGGAAGTCAAGGGGGGGGGGGATGGGGGGGTGTTTACTTGGCCAATGTGAGCTGCCTGGGTGCACTAGAAAGCTACTTGCCTGGGGAAGCAGGAAGTCAGTTTGGTCAAAGGAGTCACAGGAAGGGCCCTTAGGCGCTGAGCTGCCTCAGTGAGCCGAGGAGCTGGACTCTGGAATTGGCTGTGGGACCTGTGGAGAGACCCCAGAGGGATACGGGGGAGGAGGAGGAAGAAGTGCCCCTGGCCATCTGTGCCTTGAATAATGTCAACAGAAAAGGAGGACACTTGCTTCTGATTGTAAGGGCTAAGTGTGCCGAAGAGGATGGGTGGGAAGTGGGGCAGTGCACTTCTGCCAGCGGGCACCCCTGAGTCGGTGCCCTGGTGTGGGAGGAGCTGAGCCATCCGTGCCACCCACCCGTCCCCAGCACCAGGAGCCATCACCCCGGAGAGGCCCCCATTCACTGGAGCCACCCCTGCAGGCTCTGCCCTGAGCACTTCCTAACCCTTTCCTCACCCAGGGCAGCAGGTTCTGACTGTCGGGTGGGGAAAGTGAGTGTACGGCCCTTACCCAAGATCAGGGGCAGGGGTGTGGGGTGAGGGGAGCAGATCCTGGTTCCCGTCGGTCGGTCGTGTGGGTACAAGGTAGGGAGCCTCCATAAGTGAAAAAGAGACCAGGAAAGTGTGGTTCTCAAACAAACACTGCGCTTTGGGAAGGCTCCAACCAGGTGAAGCGCCTTGAAGCTCCGGGAATTCCCCCCAGGTAGGAAGAGGCGGGGCGGGAGATGTGGTCTGGCTCGTAAGGTTAAGTGCGTGCCATTCTCTCACCACTCACCTGTGTCCTGAAGCCTCAATCCAAGCCCTGGCACCATCCACACCCCCTTGACTGCCCTAGGGCTCATTTTCTTCCCTGGGGCACAGGGGGGCAGGGGAAGGCTTGGCTGCTCAGAATGGCCCAATGGGGTGAGGGGCTGGAGTGATGGTGGTATAGTCCTGGGACCCCAAACTCCTGATGAGTGTGATCGTGTGATCAGGCCTGGCTGGCCCCTGAGTTGACCCTCGTCTCAGGCCCCAACCAGGGGGCTTCTCCTTGCTGAGGGGCCACCACCTGGGTTTTCAGGTGCGCTGGGCCACATGCGGGAAGGCAGGCAGGAGCTGTGTGTGATTATTCTCCAGCAAGGACCAAGCCCAATGTCACATAGGAGAAGCTGAGACGGCAGCCATGCAAGAAGCCAGGCCTTGGCTTGTGCCGCTGGCCTTGGCCCGGAGACAATGCCTCCCCTGTCCTGACTTAGAATCGTCCTGTGTCCTATCGTCCTGTCTTTGGAGGCCAAGCCCTCCCCTGGGGCCCTGGATCCCAGCCGCACTCAAGGACTTTGCTCCTCTAAACGAGCCTCTGTCTCCTGAATCGTCCCTGCCTGCTTCTCCGCCACCAAGGCCCCCCTCCTCAGTACACAGACATGTTGGAATAACTCCGTACTCTTCTTCAAAAGGCCCCTGTGGCCCCACGTCGATCCCAGGGTGCCTCAGCCCCTGTTCTCGCTCACCTGGCGGCGGCGGCGGCAGCAGGCCTCATTGTCTGCACTGCATGCCCACCTTCCCTGCCCTCCCCAGGAGGTCCCAGACAGTTCGCTTCGCCATCGTCCTTCACGCTACTGACCCCCAGGAGCCAGCGTCACCTGTTTCAACCTCCCAGCCCCGTGAGGCACAACAGCCAGTCAGCCCCTCTTTGCAATCCTGTCTCCCTTTGGCTTTGAGGACACCTTCTCTTGGTCTGCCGCTGTCCCTGCTTCCGTGTCGGGCTCCCACCACTGCTGTTGGATGCTGCCAAGTGGATTCGGACGTCACGCGCTGCCGTGGGCGCAGAACAGAACCGCTGCCACGGTGGCGCTGGTGCGGAAGCCGATCATCCAACCAGCCTTTGGCTAGAAGTTGAAAGCCCCTCTAATTGGCTCTGCCTGGCTCTGGCTTACGCCTCGAGAAACGATTCAACCATCTACGTAGTGGCATTAGCCCCAAACTCAGGTTCATTGCCTTTCATCCATTCCCGCGTGCATCGTCAGGTGCTCTTTGCAGACGAGATATTTGGAATGGAATCATCGCCGCTGCTTTGCCCTGGTCCAAGCCCCCAAGCTCTCTCTACCTCCCTTCCTCCCCCCTCCCCATTCTACTCCCAGCTGCCAGAGTGACCTTTCCCAACAGAAGTGAGATCCTGTCACTCCACTGCTTTGGGTCCCACATTGGTTTCCCATGAAACTTGGAATTAAACCCAAACATTTCAGAGTGGCCATGAGTCCCCGAGGTTCTGCCCCGACCAACCTTCCAGACGTCATCTGTTGCCTCTGAGACGCCATCTCTTATCAAAACCCAAACCGCGTCCATTGCCTATCCATCGTACTCTAGCTACGGAGCAGAACTGCTCCGTCCTCGGTCGGCGGTTTGTGGGCTTCCTTCTGTGGGCCCCGGGGTGGGCTCAAACCATTAACTTCTCGGTTAGTGCTTGCTCTTCCCAGGGCCCTTCCACCCCTTGTGTTCTCTCTTTTCTAGCTCCATCGGCTCTTTCTGCTCCGCAAATTGCTCACCCACCTCCTGGAATGTCCTTTTCCTCGGTGCTTCCTGCTCCTTCATTAGGGATCCACTTCCATCCACCTTCTCCAGAAAGCCCTCTCCGAGCATCTCAAAATCAAACACAAAAGGCATCTCACTGCCATCGAGTGACTTCCAACTCGCCGAGAGCCTGCCGGGTAGAACTGCCCCCGGGGTGCCCGGGACTGTAAGTCTGTGTTGTGGTTGTGGTTGTCAGGTGCTGTGAAGTTGGTTACAACCTACAGTGAGCCTACACACAGCAGGACCAGGATGAAACACTGCCCGGTCCTGCGCTGTCCTCTCCATGGTTCCCAGGCCCGACCTCGTTGTCACAGCCACTGTGTCCACCCATCTCCTCGAGGGCTTTCCTCTTTAGCACCGCCCCTCTACTTTACCAAGTATGCGGTCCTCCTCCAGGGACTGGTCTCTCCCCACTACATTTCCAAAGCATGTAAGACGCAGTCTTGCCGTTCTTGCCTGGAAGAAGCACTCTGGCCTTACTTCTTCCGAGGCGGGTCGGTTTGTCCTGTTAGCCGTCCTGGGTACTTTCAACGTCCTTCTTTTTCCGTCTTCTTCGGTCGGTCCGATCTTTAAAGGAGTAGAATGCCTCATCTTTCTCCCACCGAGCGGCTGGTGGTTTTGAACTGCTGACCTTGAGGTTAGCAGCCCAATGTGTAACCCACGATGCCCCCAGGGCTCCTCAACCACCTCCAGTCCCTCTTTATTTAGAGGGCTCTCACTGTCGGAAGTGTGTGTTGATTTCCTTCTCCATGAAAGCAGGGAATATGTGAAACCTCACATATTCCTGGCACAAAGAAGCCTGGCACAAAGAAGATGCTCAAAACAAAAACAACTTACTGAAAGAATGAATGAGCTCAGAGAAGACCCTGCCCTAACTTCCTGCTAAAGGCCTGTTCTCTGCAGTGAGCCCCAAGCTTAGCTTCAAACCCCTGGCCTCCAAGCATTGGGGTGGGAGGGCGCTTCAGTTTAGGCTCATACCTTCATCTGTAGGCATAATATCTGCCACCCATTATGTGCCAGGTGGTGTAGAAAGCACTCAGAATATCAGTTCAGCTGTTCCTCACAACTGCTGCCATTTCACAGACGTGGAAACTGAGACCCAAAATGGTAAAGTCATTTGCCTAAGACCCCAGCAAGAACCAGGCCCAAGCTAGGCCCAGGGCGTGTGGAGGGTCTCTGCTTGATGCTCGCTAGGGAGGCAGAGTGGTCCCCCATGGCACCCGTCTTTCTTTTCGTTTGTCAAGCATTTTCTTGTCATCTGAGCGGAAGTTTACAGCGCAAATTCAGTTTCCATTCGATTCCCAGATATGTTGTTTCACGATGTCGAATGCAATCCTCACGGTGTAATCGCTTCCTTCCCACTTCTCTGTGTTTCCTGTTTCCGGCCATCCTTCCACCCCGTAGCACATCTCCTGGGTCATCCACCGTCACGTCCCTCCAGCTATCAGTCCTCGAATGACTGCTTCAGTTGGAACCACCTGTGTGTTCTTGTGGGGACTGTGGGAAGTTACAGAAAAGGTATACAGTCCTCAAATGGGACCCCTTGTGGTGTCATGGGCTAGGCATCTGGCTGCTCATGGCAAGGCCTGAGGTTCAAACTCGCCAGCCACTCCACAGGAGAAAGATGAGGCTCTTGGCTCCCGTGAGATTTAGAGCCTCAGACACCCCACGGAGTAGTTCTACTCTGTGCTACAGGATTGCCACGAGTCAGACTCAGCTCGAGGGCAGTCGATTTGGTTTGAGTCGAGGTGTTTTTCAGCCTGGTCTGACGCCAGAAGCGTCTAGTATGGAGGTGCAGGAACTCAGAGGAGGAACAGCTTGTAACTGAGCGAGGGGGAGCCTGGAGCAGTGGCCGTGGAGTCGGGCCTGGAGGTCTGGGGGAGACTTCAACAGGCAGCGTCATCGACAGAGGGCAGGGAAAGGGATCAAGGTCGAGGTGCGCAAAGGGCCGGGGGTAGAAATAGTCCAGTGTGTTCACAACATTGCAAGAGAACCCTTGAAATGCTAGTGGTCACAGCAGAGGGCAGACAGTGCGGCCTGAGGCCTTCTCCCAGGGGCCCACCCCACCCCACTCTGCAGCCAGACACGGCCAAAGCCCCACCGTGGGCCAGAGACCTTACGCTGTCCATCCACTCATTCATTCCTTCACACTGAACACCTATTGCAGGACCCCGGTCCCTGGAGCGCAGAACCGTTTGCACTGGGCTACTCACCGCATTCCCGTCTGGCGGGAGAGCCTGTCAATCTGACTCTTTAGCGATC